CAATTTAAGCACTTATTGTTAGGTAATAGATTTTATCACAAAAGACATTGGTGTTATTAAGGGTGGAATCTCTCGTATATTAATTGTATATTATTTTTTCATATGCTCGATATGAGATCCTATTCTCCAACACACCCCTCATGAGTGGCCCCACTTGGGGTCACACGGGAAACCAATTCCCACATTGGGAACGGGTCAACTCTTTATCCCAGAGCTAATGCCAATCTTTCAAGAACATGGTCGGTTGGTATTCAGTCAAATGGAGCCAACGCCAATCTTTTCAAAGGCCCAGTAAGTATTCAGCCATTGGAGCCAACACCTATATTTTCGAAGCCCTAATCATTCAATATATTAAGTTGGAGCTCAGGCACCTTTTCGAAAGTCCAACTTAAGGAAGTAGATTCAAGTCTAGTAACTCGAGCCTAGGATGTGACGATAGAATAGTCTGCTTTGATACTATTATAAACTTTTTAGCACCAGCATGGTCCACCACCATCAACATTGATATAGTCCCAACTTTGACACCTCTTGTGCAATGAAATTTATTGCTTGAGTTTAAATTTAATCCCAATGGGATAAGCATGAACAACCAATTAGTTAAGAACTTTTATCAAAATAGAAAAAGAAAAAGAAGAATATTAATCTATGTATACCTATCAAGATCCATTATGCACCCTATCCTCAATTTTGTACGTATTATTTCTTCTTAATAAATATCGTACTTTTGACTTGATAGAGCACTAAAATCTAATTAAACCCTTCCGATAATGTATATTTTGTCTCCAAATTGAGTCCCACCTTTAACATCAACTTCTTCAGATTTCATCGTGCGTTCGTTTGTTCTTCTTAATCTCTATAACCGTACTCTTTTAGATTATCTTTAGACCTAGATATACAGCTTTGCATCATAAGAGTGTTGAGCGTGAAAGACATCTAGCATTGAGAGTTAGACTAGAGATTTATTTGAGCGAAACACTTTAGTTTTTATTATATCATATTCATTTACCGTGTGATTAATTTATCAAACGCTTTTACACTTTCTTACTCACAACATTTTTAAAAGGAGAAATTAGGTTTTCATCCCTCTTTTTGCTACTTCATTGATTAAAATCTTATTTCTTTTCAATTTTTGATCAAGGTCCTTAGGTATTAATAACATCATTAATTATTTCTATAATACAATATTTTTAAATATATTCCTTTAGTGTTAAAAATGTTACAATTAGTATATTTATATTTATGGCTAAATTTTTTATCATATATTTTTATTTTTAGTTTGTACCCATTTTTAATTTGCAAACCTTTTTTTTAATTTGTACCAATTTTCATTTTCAGTTTGAATTTATACCCATATATTAATTTCTTTTTTCCTTTTTTTTTGTATTTGTGCCCATGTGTTTATCGTCACGTGACATTGTATAATTAATCAATTATAGAAAAAGTACATATAGTATATTTATGTTTTATGGCTAAACTTTGTATCATATATTTATATTTTTAGTTTGTAGTTGTGTACCCACTTTTAATTTGCAACGTTTTTTTTTAAATTTGTAGTATTTTCTTTTTAGTTTTAATTTATACCCCTGTATTAATTTCTTTTTGAGCCCATATTTTTTTAAATTTCATTTGTACTCATAATTTTTTAATCTTTTATTTGTACCCTAATTTATTTGTAATGTACCCATTATTCTTTATTAATGTACCACTTTGTTATATGTCAAATGTACCAATTTTTTTAAACACTATGGATACATTCTTTTGCCATTTATTATTTCTTATTGTTACATAGTTTTTATCCATTTATTCAATCAAAATGTTTGAATTTTTTTTATTGTAGCCGTTTCTAATAGTATTATAATGAGGAATTTTAAATTTATACGATTATAAATCTCAAAATATCAAACAATTAATGGCAAAACTATAAAAATATAAATATTAATAGTAATATAACGAGATGTACAAAGTTAAGGGACTTTGATCAAACTTTGAATACCATTAAGGTTTTAGTCAAAGAGTGTTAGGGGATAGGAACCGCATCCAAAGTATCCCTTTTTAAAAATACAAATTTTCAAAAATTTAACTGCTTTATTTTACAGCTAATTATCTTTAAAGCACATCAAGAACATTTATAAAAAAACACAACAATCTCACTGACCCTAGACAGCAAAAAGCTTATAAATCAGAAGCTAATTTCTCTACAACCATACAGTAAAAGGAGATAAAATAAGTCAAACATTTACAATATACATGCCTATTTTATTCCCTGATTGTAAGATATTATGATTTCTTTCCAACATACAGTCATGTTTTAAAAGAGAATATTTTAGCAGTTTCCAAAAAAAAAAAAAAGAATATTTTTGCTCATCTCTTAAGTGATTTTGATAATCATTATCCTACTTATTATAATCGGATGAATTTAAATGTTGAGTTTTGTATCTATTCATTATACAGATCTTGAAATTTTAATTCATTTAACGGTGATAATTAGAGTGGTGAGCATCATCATCACTTGAGAATGATGAACAAAAATACCCATTTTAGAATGAGAAATGCTAAAGAGTGCCTCAAAAGTAAGACTCTCATTGGACTCTCTGTCACCTCATATTTTTAAAATGTTTTATAATATTAACACGAGAATAACCGGTAAACTGTGAGTTGTCATAAAGTTTGTGGAGAGTGTCACTTTGAGAAGAGATTTTTTATTTATGACTGGAACACACATGACACACCACCTGTTATCATATAAGCATAGAAAAGTTTTATTTTTTAAGTACTTAATTTTTTAACCCAATTATTTCACAAATTCTATAATAACACGTAATTTATCATTATGTACTCAGTGCACATTAAAAATCTCTCCACTTTGAGAATACGTAGCATTTCTCTTTTTTTATTTGGTCTAACTAATCCGTAGCATTTATCTTTTAAAAATGCTTTTTCATTACAGGTCATCAGTCAGCTGCTTGCACAAGAGTACACGCGTCAGCATGAGAGCAAAAAGACATCCCCCATGGCCCATTGTTCCCCTCTCCAGTCTCTGTCCATCATACATAATTACATTTTTATCCTTCTCGTTTAAGCCATATTACTAGCACAAATACGTCTTTTTAATTGTCTTTTGTCGAATTTCCTAAGTTAATTGATCCACAGATTTATGTTCAATGAATCAATAATCCCAGAGGCTTTCAACCGCTGCTTCACCTCCCAAAAAGCAAGATGCCTTTTTTCTTTACAAGAAAAAAATAATTTTGTAAACGAAAAATAACCAAACTGGCATAACTCGTGCATTGTCAACAGTCTAATAGTATAACATGGTATGTTGTCAGGTTGTGCACAAGACCATTAATTAAAGAGTAAATTGTAGCTATGGTCCCTTAACTTTAACTCAATTGGAGCAATGGTCCCTCAACTAAAAATCCATTACCTTTGGTCCCTCAACTTATCAAAACGTGCAGCTATGGTCCCTCAACTAAAAATCCATTACCATTGGTCCCTGAACTTTAATTCAAGTGGAGAAATGGTCCTTTAACTTTAACCCAATTGTAGTAATGGTCCTTCCAATATAACTCGTTTTGACAAATTTTTTGACATAGTTGACGAAAAGAACCATAATTATACACTTTGATGAGTTAAGGGACCCTAATTATATAAATGGTCATTCCAACATAGCTTATTTTGACAAAATTTTGGCAAAATTGATGAAAATGACTATAACTACACATTTTGATAAGTTGAGGGACTAATGGTAATGAATTTTTAGTTGAGGGACCATTGCTCCAATTTGATTAAAGTTGAGGGACCATTTGTACAATTTACTCTTAATTAAATTGCTTTTTATCTAAATATTTGGTCTAAGTTTATAGTGTAACCACACGAGTATCTCGTACTGCAACGATGCCTCATATTAGAACGTTACCTACCAAACAAATATTAGAAAATACGTAAACAATTGGTGCAATGTAAATAAGAAGTATAAAAAGAAATTTGGAAAATCTACATGATTTAGATTTTTTTTTCAATTTGAAAACATAAAATAAGAAAAACAATATTTTGGTACAATGTGTTTAAAAAATTCTTCTTTTACAAGAAAATAAAGAAAAATAAATACATGAAGTACAATTGGAAGCACCAAAGGATTAAAAGGAGTTGTAATGCCCCACGAATAACATTATAGGCAAGGTTCTCTTGTCACTATTTTGTCTTGGCTCTAGGGTTTGATTGCTTGATTGTTTCCATGAAGAAATTTTTTAGTGTACCGATATTACAGCCCTGTGCATCAAATGTCATTATACAAGTGGTTGAATTCTTCTCAGGATTTAACTATGGCTTAAATTATTTTGAACCCACAAAATTGTCGTATTTCAAACCTTTTTTTTGTTTGTTACTTATAATCTAACGACTACGATCAAAAGAGATCAAATCTAATGTAAAAAAAAAAAAGATTTGACGGCCCAAAGTTAAATTTAACGTCTAAAATAATTTAAGAAAATTAATTAAATCAAATTTAACTTAAAACTTTATATATGATTTTTAATTATTTATCGGAATTTAAATATTTTTAGATTAAAATATTTATAAAAATAAATTAGGATAATCTACATATAATTTATTTTAAAAAAAAGTTACCGAAAAAAAAAATTAGATTAAAATCATTATTTTAATAATTTCTAACTAAAATTTTAAGCAATAAGGGTTTGAGGAGAAAAACAGGGTTATAGTTTAAAATTTTATGACTTAAATTTTTAAGCTTGATTTCCAAAAGTTGAAGATAATCTTAAGAAAAATGGAATGATCTGAAGAAAAAAAAAATTGACATGGAAATAAAAATGAGTAGGTAGCCATGGCATATGGTGGTTAAGCGAATTTACTAATCGATTTCTCATTGACATGGAAAATATCCAAAATTAAAATTCTAGTAAATGTTCTTGCCATGCACATTGCACGCCCTTCACATAATTTTCACCCTCTCTCTCTCTCCCCTACACAAAATCTGGCAATTACCCTTCTGGTCTCCAGCTGTGTATTTTTTCTCAATTTCGTTTTCTTCTGATTCCCTATTGGTGCCCTCTCTCTCTCTCTCTCTCTCTCTCTCTCTCTACCCTAGAAAGCTCCCCTCATTCCTTCATAAGCTCCCCTCAAGCGTCAGTCTTTTCAGCCAACCTTTGAGGGAGAGGGAGAGAGAGACTTCACTCCAAATACACTATTCGTTTTATTTTCTTTCATCATATATATTCTTCTTCTGTTCTTCATCTTCTGTTCTTTGATTTCTAATCTCAATCTTCTTCGTCCCCAATATATCTGGAAAAAAAAACTTAGATAAATAAAATACACGCACTAAATATATAAAACCAAAAACCCAAGTTCCAGTCTTTATTCATTTTGTTTCTTAGTTGATGAAATTTGGGTATCCCTAGTGAGAGAAAGTGAGGGGAGAGAGAGAGAGCATGGCACCCAGTTTTGACTGTGCGGTTTCAAGCCTGCTATGCGCAGAAGAAAACATTTTTGATATTGACGATTTTGGGTCTGAGGAGGCTCACAGAAATCATCGAAACAACAGTCGGAAGGGAGGGTTTTGTGATGATGGGGAAGAAGGGCTGCCATTGCAGAGTCAGAGTGATGAGTATTTGGGTTCAATGGTAGAAAAGGAATTTCACCACTTGCCTGCTTCTGATTACTTGATGAGGTTGCAAAGTGGGGACTTGGACCTTGCTGCTAGACAACAGGCTGTTGATTGGATTGGAAAGGTCATTTGTTTACTCTCTGTCCTCTTTTTTTTTTCTTTTTTTTTCTTTTTTTTTTTCAGTTTTTCTTTGTTTAGGGGTTCTTTTTAATTTGATGGTTGTTGCATTTCCCCAATCAGAAAGAGCTATTCTTTTCATTTGGTTAATGGATTCAGACACAAATTTTATGTTTGGGGAGTTTGATAAAAAATAGGTTTGGGGTTGTCTCCGGTTTGGTTTGATTTGGTTTGATTCGGTTTGGTTTGGGGGAGAATATTTCCTGGTTTGCTATTTGGGAAACAGAAATTGGATTTATGTTTCTTCACTTTCCCCTGTTCTAAGCTGAAAATGCCAAAGAGACCAACCCAGAAATTGGATTTATATTTTCTCTGATTAATTAAGTTCTTAATGATTATTGCTAACATTGTGTTTTTTTTTTTTGGAAAACACTAACATTGTGTTTTTTGGCTAATCAGGCAAATGCACATTTCAGTTTTGGACCTCTATGTCAATACCTATCCATAAACTACTTGGATCGATTCCTTTCTGCGTATGAATTACCTGTAAGTCTTGATCAATAAATCGAAATGAAATTGAAATCGAAAACAGGACTTACAGATTGTGTGTTTAATTGCAATCCAAGTCCATTGCTGATTTTACCTATCCATAAACCATCTGCAGAATGGCAAAGCTTGGACTATGCAATTGTTGGCTGTGGCATGCTTGTCCCTTGCTGCAAAAATGGAGGAGATCGATGTCCCAATCTCTCATGATTTACAGGTTAGGATCAAACCACTTACACCCTCTATACTCTTTTAAGTTTTTTTAATTTGATCATTCTTGAATTTTCTGTGACGGGAATTCGAACTTGGGTGCAAGAGGGCAGACACACATATAGATTGTCCTAAAGATGTGAGCTTTTTGATACAGGTGGTAGAGTCAAAATTTGTGTTTGAGGCAAGAACAATTCAAAGGATGGAGCTTTTGGTGTTGAGCGCATTAAGATGGAGAATGCAAGCAGTTACCCCCTTCACATTCATAGATTCTTTCCTTCTCATGATCAATGATGATCAAACCAATCTCAAAACTTCAATCTTGAGATCATCCCACCTGATTGTGACCACTGCTAAGGGTACTAATCTAGTGCTACAAGTCATAATTTGTGTCTCAAATTGTACCAATCATGGTGAAAAAGCAGCTGATGTTTGGTGGAAATTGAATGCAGGAATTGACTCGTTGGAATACAGGCCTTCAGAGGTGGCAGCAGCGGTAGCAATTTCTGTGGCAGGAGAGGCCAAAACATTAGACAATGAGAAAGCAATCTCTATGCTCATTCAACATGTACACTTAGTAAAGGTATATCATAATTTAGTTTCTTTGGTGGTCCAAGTCCCAAAAGAGAGACATAAATGATGATGATGATTTTTTGCTTTTGCTCTTATCATTTTGAGTTGATTGTAAATTAGTAAATTATAATTGCGAGACGCGATTAGCACTTCAAAAAGGTCATCATGCATTCCGAAAATATAAGAGAGAAAATAAACGACGGACGAACTTTTTTAAAATGTCAATAGAAACTCCTGTTACTATTCTACATGCAATACAATACAATACAAATGTATAAGATTAAGTAGACATGTTATTAATTTTATTGACTTTTGTTTATGGTTTGGTTTGGTTTGGTTATGCAGGAGAGAGTGGCAAAGTGTGTAAATTTGATTCATGATATGACATTAATGAGTGGGACCCCCATGAAGGAAGCTAGTGGGTCAGCCCAGAGTGGGACCCAGAGTCCAATAGGAGTGTTGGATGCTGGATGCTTCAGCTACAAAAGTGAGGAAACCACAGTTGGGTCATGTGTAAATTCCTTCCACAGTAGCTCAGATTCTAAAAGAAGGAAGCTGAACAGACCCTGTGAGGTGGGGTTGTAGAGACCCAAATGTGTCATTTTGTTACATAAGTAGGATTTTGGTGTGTTTTCTGAAGTTATTCAAAGAAAAAAAACAGGGTGGAAAAATGAGGACAAAGAATGGGAGAGGGATGGGAGTGGGATGATAAGTTAGGTCATGGACTCAATATGCATCATGCTTTTGGCATGAGGAAAAGAGAAACCTCTCCAGCTGTTAAATATTAGACTTCTTAGCAGCCAGAGCCTCCCAAGCAGAGAAACTGAGAATAGGGTAGCGACTTTCGCACTCTGTCCCGTGTTCGGTTTTGTGAGATACAGTTTGTGTTAGGGTTTGGAGTTTTGTTTATTTATTGGTTACAAAAAAGAACAGAAAATTGAGAAGTAATATATGATTGCAGGAATTTTTATATATGTTCATATGTTTCTCTGGCAGTCTTAATTAGTTATGATTATTATGTACTGTTTTTAAAAAGCGGTCTTGGTTTTTGTTTGTTGTCCGACTATCTTCTAATGTTTTTAGAACCTTGATTATATGTTAGATTAGTCTAATAATTTGTCAGGGGTACTGGGGTAACTTTATCTAGTGACCTGTTTGTGTTTGACTGTTTGTCGAATTGGACCGTGGGGGTGATGGGGGTGTCTGCAGGTTTGCCTTGATGATATGGGGAGGGAACTTTGGGAAGACAATATTGAATATCTTAATTCTGCCCTCAACAACCTACCATGAAAAACTTAACACAAGAGACGGTGATATCTTTGTCAGAACAAACAGAAGCACCTAATTTTATTTCTCCACCCACACCACTTTTGTCCATCCACTTAAAGAGTCAACATGCTCCAAAAGCAACACTAACGTTTATTCAAGCCCTAAGTTGTAAATGCAAGAAAAATATGTCTTGGTTGTATGTTTTCTTAGTTTGTGTTTCTCGCCACGTAATTATGGAGATGTGTAACCAGAAGTAACTAAGAATTTCTATGTAATTAGCCTCCGTAAGCTCTAAGCTGAAGTCTTTATTAGTTTGTTTCAATGTTAGCAGACAGAAATTGGGTGTTTGGGGAGAAAAATTAACAACATGAATCTACATCCACTGGTCATTCTTTTCGTATTTTGTATTTGGGGTTTAGTCGGCCAACTAAATATACCGGTAGATTTACAATGTATTTTACTTGCATCGACAGCTGATAGTCGTCTAAGTGTAGAGTGTATTCTAAGCATTTGTATAGTGTAAAGATACATAAAGATGCCCTATATGTAAATGAGAGTAAGCTTGGCCACTTTAAGGAATAATCCTGTGACTCAAAAGCACTAGTCCTCAAAGGGAGGAATCAAAAGAGTAGGAATAAATAAGTATGTATACAAGAAAAGCCATCAACCTCTCATTTCTTTTAAAAATTATCTGAAATATGTAATTGATAATCAGTGTACAACCGAGGTTTTGTATCTACAACACTCATCACGTGATTTGCTAATGCAACAGATTTTCTCAACGACAATGAGACCTAGATGTGGGGAAATTTCTAATTTTTGACATAGATGACAAGCGACAACTCCCAAAGAAATAGTTCATCACAACAACAGACCGCTTAATTAACAAGTGGTCAGCTTGTTTATTACAACAGTAACAAAAACTGCAGGAATAATGTCATGTGCATTCAGACTTTACAAAGTTAATTTTACTGAGAATCCGAAAGGCACATCAAATTTTACTAAGGAAATTGTAATGTGGAATATATTCTCCCTAGAGAATAAATTGTACATGGGCAGTCGGCTAGGGTTCCAAACTTCCAATTAAACGAGATGGGGGAAATCGAATCAATTAATTTCGATCAAATATGTAAGCAGAGACACTTTTTATCCACTAGTAATCTCAATTTTTTTTATTTATTCAGAGAATCTTTTACAACACTAATACCAGAGAATCCTGCAAAATGAAAATGTGTAAGGAAATAATAAATATATAAAACAAAGGACATGAGCCATGAAACTGTAAATGATCCGTCCCTCTAAACCAAACCCTAAAACCCTAAAAGCTGTAGTCAAAAGCCACACTCTAAACCAATGACCAATGCCAAACCGTTTGAATGAGGAAACCACAAAGGGCTTACATGATACAAGAAAGACTTACATGATACCGAGATGACAAGGTGATGGTGTTCCATACCAATCATGCAACACCATGTGAGTAGTTAATACATGTGACACGTGATAGGTCTGGAATATCTCAATGGTGTACCGGAAGTGTAAGTAGGTCCTTCACATTGGGATGGGCCCGTGGCTTAGACAACTATTTGAGATGAAAAGACACTTCGAAGTGATGCAGAACAATAAAAATCTAATGTCAATTTTGTAACATTTCTGGGAGAAACTTCTTACTTAGAAGCAGGCATTGATTTAAAGAAAAAATGAGTTATCCTAAACATTGACATTATTGCTTACCCTACCAACCAAAGTGGTAGGCTAGGCAAATGAGAAAATTAACCTAAGGTCCCAACCCAAGTGAGTGCAAAAACATTCTCATTTTCCCAGTGTCATGATGCTGCAACAGGCTGGTGAGTCGATGATTTGTCAAGAAAATGAAGGAACTGGCTGAATTGTCACTTCCAATAAACTATCACATAAAAGAGCAGGCTGAGAAGGGTGATGGGGCTTCTAGTAGTGGGTGATGGGGCATCTAGTAGTGGGTGAAATGGCATCCTATTAGGAAAGAAGATTGCCTATGATAAGTCATGGGAGCAAAGATATGGTCACGTGAGGAGAGATTGATAAGCGTTTAATTAGTCATTATTTTTACGATCTAATTATTCACATTAAAGACATAGACAAAAAATAAGGTATACGTATAGTTACACGTGAAAAGAGAGGCAGAGAGAGGGGTGTAGATTCCAAGACATGAAAGTTCTTCTCCACTATTGGACCATCAAACCGGTTCAACTTGTGAATTCTTTTTGGAAGGAAAGGTTGTTGCTACTACAGTACAAATAAATAAATTGCTTATTCTCCTTTTATACATCTCACAAATCATGTTCCAAACAACCAAAGAGCTATAATCTAGAGAGAGAAAGGACATACCACATACCACATAGCACATGTGGACAATGGGTCACTGAATAGTTTTAAGTTGCTTGAAGTGACAAAAACTCAACTGTTTATAAATATTGACGATATAAGAAAAGTGTAGAGGATGAAATCATTAACAAGAAAAGTTGGAACAAAGAATTATTTCTGATAATATATTTGCCAAAAAATCAAACCACTAGAGAGGAGAGCATGCCACTAACCCTAAATTAAACCAATTCTCTCTGATTTTGGTAGGCAAAACAACTGAACATTATGATTTATAGCAGATGAACAGTTTTTTTAGATCAATTTCGAAATAATCCAATTTGCTATCAACAATTTATACACTGTGAAAAAGGGAGTGGTGGGATTAGTAGTGATTGATCGTGTGAGTGATAAACAGTTAGGATGAACTTTAACGCTCGTGCACCTGATGCTAGCATATTCCTATTGTCAAAAATAGCTTGGGGTTCTTAACATCTTTCGGCCTACACTACACATATTATGTTTTGGGCCCAAAGAATAAACATATAGGACATCCCTTTACATGTAATCAAAAGATGGTTCACAAAAGAAAGATTATTTGCAAGAACAAAACATTAAAATTTGATTTTCCTATCACTTGAATTAAGTACCGAATCCGATGAACCTGAATACACATGTCATGCTCGCATCAATTTCGTTTTCCTGATTTGATTTTCCTGGAACGAAATGTTTCGATTAAATTGAAAATTGATTATCCATTAGTTTGATTCATATGGTAAATCAAATCCGATGAACTTAATCTGCATACTGACCTTCGTCGTCGATCAAAGAAGAAGCTCCCGGCGATCTCTCTCTCTCTCTCGCGGCGGGGCTCAAAGCTGGATGTGAGCTGGAAATGGCGGTGGAACTTAAATAGTAAGAAAAGGCGGGACTGGTTATGGTTTGATTTCAAGAGACCCTCTGAAGCTGATCTAGCTGCTTAAATTACTATTATGTCCCTGTTATTGGGTCCATAAATTTATAACTTGGTTACTTGGCCCAAGATTTAGTGTGGCACCACCATGGGGCCTAGTTTTGGGCTGAAGCCGATCATTCATATATACCTTGTCAAATCCAGTGACTCGAGCCCATTAGGTCCAAATTTGTTTTGGTACAATCTCACGACTGTTGTAGACCCCATTTCATAGACAACAGAATCGAGAGAAACGACAGAGAGGAGAGAGAGAGAGACGGGAATTGAGGAATTTTGTGATATGATTCTTCATGTTTTGTGTCTGTAGACTTACTTATTTACAAGTAATATAAAGTTTAGTAAGAAAGACGTAGTCGATGCATCAAATCTTCAAGCAAATATAGAAGCAGTTGATGAAATCGTCTTGTCTCGTCAGCACAATGGCAAACGCAAGTCTCTAATGATGAGAGCATGTAGAAGAAAGTCTCACCCAAACCTGGCTATAGTAAAACCCAATGGGGCAAACTCATAGACAAAGGAGAAAATGGTGAGTTAATGCAACATGTTGATACTTAACATCTTCAGGACGCAAGTAGTAGAAAATGCACACAAGGCTATGACCAACTCAGAATAAGTGCATTGTCAAAATCTCGTCAAGTTAGCAAAAACCCAGTGAAAAAAATGCTCCTAATTTAAAAAAAAAAAGTACATTTAGGTCAAATAATTATATTTCAGGAGACTTTCCCTGAGTTCGACAAAGGTAAGTAAAGCTCAATGAGGAAAACACAACTCATAACTGAGAAAATGGCCCATTTTGTCTGAAAACCGATACTAGACACATAAACGCTCTCAACTTCATTGTTTCTCAAAACTAAGTAATTATAATTAAAACAAAATTCAAATACAGGTCGAATTTTTTGTTTGGAACAAAAATACGGGTCAAATTTAAAATCTGATAAATGAATTGTAAAATTTAGAAACTAGAAAGCCGAATTTATCGAGTTGAACCACATTATTGCATGCCCATTGGGAGGCTAAGCCCATTTCCTTTCTTTAAAGTAGATACCCTTTGTTTCTAGTATTTATTAATGAATTCGTTCCTTCTTTCCTTTATTTATTTATTTCTATAGTGGAGATAGTCGCACGTAATGATCCTATAGAACCTATCACTAAAATACCCCTAGAGAGGGATAGGGCTAAGCGGAGCAAAAAGGGTTTTCCATGAGATAGGAAATGAAAACTATTAGCCCCACAGGGGGTTTGTGAATAATTGATTGTCTGATAATGAGCAAAGAATATTCGTCTTTCTGCTAAACAAGATGTATTGAACTCATAATTTCATTAGATAACTTTTTATGAATGTCAACTAAGTATCGTAAGTAAATTGCTCACAGTTGTTCAATCATTTGATAACCA